GTATGCAGTGCAACTTACAAAAAAAAAACACTTTTAATATTTTAGTTTTCCAATGAAACGGTTCAGCTGCTCATTTTCAGATGTGACATATTCATTTATTTTCCAAAAGAAGTACTTCCCAATGTAATAGTTGTGTATAAGGAAAATGTTTCTAAGTGATCCATTACCGACATTACAACTTTGCCAATACAACGTTTTATGACCACTAAAATGTCCCAGGTGTCCATTTCCGACTGACCAGATGGAATACGAGTGCCCACTCTTTACTTCACGTCTGGACGTGCAACGATGTTGTTGCATTTAATCCAGAGCTTAACGGCTAAACGGTCGGCTTTGTTCTAAGCTGATTATCCAACGACCGTTTTTGCCGGAATAATTCTCCGAAATTAGCATTTCTGGATCGTGAATTTACTACTTTAGCATAAAGTGACCCTTAAAATCCAGTAGGACACTTAGTTCCTTACTAGGACGCCCAATTTAATCTCACAACGATTCTCTCATTTTGTCTCCAACAATTTACGATTCCAACAGAAAAACAATCTCATGCAGGTGCTTGGAAATTCTTGCAGATTCTCGCTCCCTTAATTTCCATAATGAAGTCTCTGGAAAAATTCCCGCTGAAAAATTGCTTCCTATTGTATACGGCGTCGAATAATCCATTAGGATAATAATTCACCTGATCGGTGGTCCCTGGATCGATGTTTTAATTTTAGGGAATTTTATTTTATGTTGAGTTGCTAAAGGGAACCCGAATGTTAGCACGCTTTGTTGCCTCATACCGTGCCAACTTTGGCACGGTCCGTTGGGTTATTCGAAAGTTGCTTAAAAAGGGTTACGTTCATAATTCCGTGTCTAATGTAAACAAGGCTCCGCTTCGTTAAATTTATTTTTGTAACTTTAGACGGATGAAATTATTAATGACGTGGAAAATAATTTAAATACGGTTTAAGGATTTTTTCGCTAGCCCGGCGCCTCCGCTATTTGTGGAGGGAGCATTTAGTGCTGGCTGTAACAAATGGCCAGTAAGTTCCACGGGAGGCTAAAATTACTTAACAGAGTGATTTACAAAGGGAATTATTACAATCACATCATTAATCCATCATATCATAAATTACGTCAACTTGCCTTTTGGGGGATGACTGTAGATTGCGTGCACGCGAGACATGTTCTTGTGACAACATAATAAAGTTTCGGAACGTAATAAGTCTTGGTACGCATATAGGAAAAAAGGGGTTATGATTTAGCTACCTAATTTTTTGCATAATGTTTTCTTTGTCACATAAAACATAAAAGACGTTTTAGAATGGATGTAAGAAAATTAAGTAGATTTCAGATTGTATTCAAATAACCCCTTTCTGTGACATTAATGGAAAAAGTAATCATAACAATAATTACAACATTCACAGCTCTTAATCTGTTCAAAAGAACTTTAATATTCACTTTAGCAGTTCTTATGCTAGTTTGGTATTAATTAAATGAAAAATTGTGGAAAGTAGACACTTATACGTTATATTAAATTAAGACTGAATTCCATTTAGTTTTGTTTGCATGAACCCAACACTACATACATCACATTTTAATATTACAGACTTTACTCACTGGTCAAACACTTTTAACTAGAATAAATATACTGTGAGAACGACCCATATTTGGTGAAATATGTTATTATGTATATACACCAGAAATTACAGAATTAGTTGTTCAGGTAACGACTAATTTATTAACTGAATATGCGTAAAAACTACAAGTTCACTAATAAATCAAAATAATTGTCTAAAAATATTATTGTATATAACATAAATTTGTTTATATTCAACTCAATCGTAATCACCTCAATAGATACGTACATATTTCTAAATGAACTTTAACGAATTGCTTATTGTACGAATTACTAAAATAGGTTTAGTAGATTCGAGGTGGGATTATTTTCGGAATCCCCTGGAATTTCACAGTTTTCAGTGAGGTATCCAGGTAACCGCTAGACTGGTTTATAAAACTGGCGCCCGAGTTTTTCTTTATTTCAGGTTGAAAAGATCCATGATGTTGTTTCAGTTGTATGTATTTAATTTTTATTTTCATTAAAATTTATCGTCCTTTATGTCCAGAATTTCTGAACCCAGAAAAATACTTTTTTTTTGTTAACTTCCCTTACGTGAAAATTTATTTCTCGAATAAATAAATTCATTAACCTTGAAGAATGTTTTGTAGAGTTTTATTATCAATTCATTTAGAGTGTTTTAGTTTCTGAAGTGAAAGTTTTACAAGGGGATCAATATTTAAGGAGATGGTGTTCTTTTTTGGTGAATATACTGTTCTGAAAAAATAAAATTTTATTGTATCGAACTAGCAATATAATAATGTGCAATTGAATCATCTTTAGAATGTCGGTGAAAATAGAAGAAAACAAAAGAGGAAATCAAAAACTTTTATATAGAGCCCTAAAACATTAAGGGAAGGGAACACTAAATTGTAGGTGCTGTTAAGAGTAAAGACGGCTTAATAGTAGTAGAAGAAAAAGATGTGATATGGAAATGGTACTTCAAGGAACTATTAGTAGGACAAGAAGAAGAGCCAAATCGTATGATAGAAAGTGAAAAATCTCTAGAAATTAATAGAGAAGAAGTAACAATCAAGAATTTTTAGGGCAAGTAGAGAAAGATACTTACTACTCTACATTTGCAAAGATTTGTTGAAAATATACGAATAATGAGATTAGAAGGAAACAGCAGATAGAATCAAAATAATATTACCTCCAAAATTTTAATTTCTGAAATATGAGACACAGACTAATTATTTACGAGTAATTGAACTCAATGAAAGATTTCGTATTACAAAATTAAATTATGTAAGACTTTTTTAAATTTAAAGGCAGCCAATTTTTGTCACACCAATCAATTAAAGAGTGTAAATCAAGTTGAAGTTTTTCAGCATCCAAAGTAAAACGGATGTTTTTTAAAAGTTTAAAAGCTTCATAATAAAAAAGTAATTACAATGACGAAAACAAGAAACATCAAAATGATTTGAAGTACATTTACCAATGCGGACCTGCTGATTTCTGTTCGTAAGGCAAGGAGGTTAGCCAACTGATCGTCGGATCTTTAAACCATAATTTTTGCAATTTCAGAATTAATAATAATCTATGTTCGACACCATCGAACGTTTTAGCGTAGTTCGTATAATTAGAATCAACTTGAGACCGACTGCTGATAGATTCATTAAGAAAAGAATAATATTATATACTCCTATTAAATAAAGTGATACAGGAAAAGAAAATACCTAAAGATTGGGGAGTAGGATTAATTGTGCAGATCTACAAGAAAGGCGATAGGAAAGAATGCAAAAACTTTATTAAGTGGAGTACTTAAAATATTCGAACACAGACTAAGAGCAGAGTTAGGACACTCGTTCATTGAAGCACAAAGGGTATGGAAAAGGCGTTCGATAGAGTGTTTACGGAAAAAGTTAGGGAAAGTTTAGTTGCCAGAGGAATCTACGACAAGATGATAAAAGTCATTCAAAGCATATAAAAAAAAATGGTCTAAAGAGTTTACTTCCCTCGTTGTCGGAAACGTGACGATTGATGTATATTATGTTTTTTTTTCACATTAGATTTCAAAGCATTCGGTTTTGTAGTTCTTGATTAAATCAATAAAATAAATTTGCGCATTCATTAAATTTTTTGAGTCACTTTGTATATCCGAATCCAAAAAATATGAAAGGAATGATAAATTACAAGAAGAGACTCATCATATTTTGTACATTTTAGATAGGGTTATTCGACAAACTTTTGAGCTGACGTCATTAATTTTTTGGAGGTGATAAGCAAATATATTTTGACTAAAAATTTATTATGCTCTTTATAATTTTAAAACATTTGCAAAATTTCAAAGCATTGGGTTCTGCAGTTCCTGATTAAATCAATAAAATAAATTTATGCGTTCATTAATTTTTGGGGTCACCCTGTATATGCAAATCCAAAAAACATGAATGGAATGATAAATCACAAGAAGAGACTCATCATATTTTGTACAATTTAGATAGGATTTATTCAGTAAAATTTTGGGGTGGCGTCATCCATTTTTTAGAGGGGATAAGTAAATATATTGTGATTAAAATTTTGTCATGCTTATCATAACTGCAAACCATCTGCAAGATTTCAAAGTATTCGGTTTTGTAGATTCCAAATTAAATGTTAAAATGTTGTTTCCTAATTTAGATTTTTTTTTTCCAAAAATCTGGACGTTTCGGGTAAAATCTCAATTCGGAGTCATAAACTACATGTGTAAGACTATGTTATTTGATACAATTTAAAACCCAATTACTATGTATAATTTTGAAGCGACGTCATCATATTAGTGGTGGGGATGATTAGACAAATTTTGGTTAGCGTTTTACCATCTACATGATATACCTAATATAAATGCAAAATTTGACAACAATCGACCTAGTACTTTCGGAGATTATCTGTCTGATAAAAATCCGGGACGACAGACAGACGGACAGACGGACAGACAGACGGACAGACAGACGGAAACGGGAGACTTATTTCTTCGTCTTCTAGGGGTCATGAAAGATTGAGAAAATATAAAAGTAGAGAGTCGGCCGACGGACTCGATTACAATACTTCCTTTGCTTACGCTCGGGAAGTAAAAATAGCGTAAATTGTGTAATTAATGGACAAATGGAAGGCTTTGTACGTTGAGAAGGATTAAGACAAGGTGGTGTTATGAGCCCTTTTCTATTGACGATGTAATGAGAGAAAGCCATAGAAGAATAAAGAAGAAACTGCATTTTGATTACAGAAATTTAAGACAAGTAGAAATTTTGGAGTATATATTTGCGCACGATATTGTAATAGTTGTAAAAAAAGACCTACAATAGCTACTCGTATTTATACATCAAGTTGCAAAATGAACTTTTTTTTCGCACTAGACGTGAACAAGTTTTGTAACATGTTTTCGAACAACTGAAGGCAAATGTAAATATATATATTAAACTTCTCACAGAGATGCGTCTTCATTCCCTTCGGTTTTTTGCGTTCTTCCTCCAGGCCTGTATTTGTTTTCTGCTAGGTCTTCCTCTATCGCTTCTTTCCACTTCTTCCTTGGTCTGCCTCTTTTTCTTTTGCCCTCCGGAATTTTCCAAGCCACCATCTTAACTTCTCTTTCTTGGGTCATTCTTTCTAGGTGTCCTAACCATTTAAATCTTTTTATTTTTATGAAATTGCTTACAAATGTGTCATTATATAAATCATATATTTCTTCATTAGTTCTTCTTTACCATCCTCCTTCTGTTTGTTTCCCTCTAAAGATTCTCCTAAGTATCTTCCTTTCCCAAATTTCCAGTCTTTGTTTCATTTTATTTGTCATAATCCATGTCTCGCACGCCTATGTTAGGGTTGGTTTCATTATGGTTTTAGATATTCTTAGTTTGGTTTGCCTTGATATTTTTTTACTTTTCATAATTTTTCTTAATCCTCCTGCACCGTTGTTACTTTTAGCAAATTCTCAGTTCTATTTCTTTGTCTTTTTGGCATTTGTTAGTTATCAACAGCCCTAAGTACATAAACATTTCTACTTCTTCAAATTTTATTTTATTCCTTCTTGTCTGTCTATTTGTAGGTTGTTTTTATTTCGACTCTCACAGTTATTCTCTAGTTCCATCTATTTTGTTTTTTCTATATTAAATTCTAGGCCTGCCTCTTCTGCTTGTATCATTAGCTTTGCTGTTATTCTTTCTATCCTTTCTGTTCCTAACTAGTAGGACTAAATAGTCTGCGTAGGCTAGACATTGATGGCTTCTATTGAATAGTAGACCCTTTCTGTTTGTATCACTTTTCCTTATAATACTCTCTAGAACCAGATTGAATAGAGTTGTTGACAACTGATCACCTTGTCTGATCCTTGTTTAACATTGAAACTGTCACTAGTTTTTCCTTTTACTTTTACTCTGCTTATTGTGTTTTTCAATGTTATTGTTATTAGATTCACTAGTTTTTCGGGAATATCTAGTTCTCTCAATACGTTTATTAACTGCGTCCTGTTCACCGTATCGTAAGCTTTTTTGAAGTCCACAAAGAGTAAATAAGTAGGAATTCTATATTCGTAGTTTCCTACTATGATTTGTTTCAACATAAATATTTGATCGATTGTCCCTCTTCCTTTTCTAAAGCCTTCTTGATATTCTCCTAGAACTTCTTCCATATATCCTTCAAGTCTTCTTTTTGTTATCGATGCCAGTAGTTGATGCGTAACGTCCAAAACGCACTCGCACGGTAGTTTTCACAGCTTCTTCTGTCACCTTTTTGAAAGAGCGGCGTTATTAGTGCTTCTTTCCAGCTATCCGGAATTTCTTCCTTTTCCAAATTTGTTTTATTACCACCTGGATATAGTATTTCAGTTTTTCACCTCCATATTTTAGGTTTTCTTTTGTTATTCCTCATTTGGTTTATGATATCCTCTATCTTTTCTCTTGTTGGCATTGCTATACTTTCATTACTTGAAGTTCTTTTTTTGGTACCTATTTTTGTTCTTCTCTCGGACCTCATCTGATTTCGCTATTTAATATTTGTTCGAAGTACTGTTTCCATCTTCTCAATTTTCCTTCATCGTCGCCTATTAACTTGCTTTCTATATCTTTTATATATATATATTGCGTAGATTCGTGATTTGTTGACTTTACGTTTTGTATGTCGTTATATCTTTCTTCTGGTTTTTCTATAGTTTTTATTTGTCTTTCTAAAAAATCCCCTTTTTTCCTGCGATATATTTGCTTAACTATCTTTATCTGACTGTTATAATTCTTTGTATTTTCTTCTAGGTAAATGTAAATCAATTATAATTTTGGTGACGCGAATAATTTTCAATCAAAAGTTAGGTGGCTGAAAATGTTTTCCGTGGTTACTGTCATTAATATAATAAACAACAAAACCCATCGTGCAATTTAGTTATAATTACTTAAGCTGCGTGTACATGAGCAAGTAAAACTGTCGCAAGCTACTCTCTGAGAGTACTTGCTGGTGCACTGGCTGGTGTAAACAGTGGTAGAGAGTACGCTTGCTGCAAGTTTTGCAAGTTGCGGCAAGCACTTTATGCAATAAACAATTTGCAAGTATAAACAATTTGCTAGAGACCTCTAGCCAAGCAGTATTTATTTCAAGCTTGTCTGGAAAGTTTTTATCTAGAGTGGTAAGCGGCATCAAGTTATTATTATTAAATATGGACACCGTCGTCCAAGGAAGAAACGTACGCCTTGATTCAAATGTATGAAGGATTCCCGGAATTGTGGAATGTAAAATCAAAAATGTATCTAGATAGGATTAAAAAAGAAAAAGCGTTTAAGGCCATAGCAGATAAATTTAAAGCTAGTGTAAGTGAAATCCAAAGAAAACTACACAACCTCCGCACTCAACAAAATCAGGAATGTAAAAAAATTAAGAAAAGACACAGTGGAGAAGGCGCTGATGACGTGTACAAGAGCTCTTGGGAATATTTTGATGCTCTCAAATTTCTGTTTAATGACGAAATTTCAATGGCACAAGGCGAAGATAATTTGGTAAGTAATAAAATGTATTTTGAATTGTTAAATGTATTTATTGTTGTATTGGAAGTTCATTATTTACACAGTAATTAAATGTGCCTGTATTGCCATGCAACTTCCCCTTCCGGTGAAACAAAATAATATCGAAATTTTTACATGTTTTACTCTAGCACGAATTAAAAGACTATCTGGTGTACACGGCAATGCAATAAGTTGCCAAAGCGCCACTCTAGATAGCAGTTGCTGAAAGGTATTTGGTCAATTTATTTGCTGGTATGTAAACGTTTGCGCAAGTACTCTCAGAAGTTCCCCTCGCAAGTTACTTTCTTGTGTACACGCAGCTTAAAGTTGGTGCTTATTTCACTCTGTGGTGAACGAAAATGTGTTATCCTGATGAAGACGACATTCTACTTGATATTGAAACTGACGTGTCGCATTTAATCCCCCAAAAATTTCGATCCGCATAAGCATACGCGACAACATCCCACTGTTTCGAAGACTGGACCCATAAACAAAAAGTAAACTGCATTGATGAGAAAGTAATGTTGTTTAACTTTCTTGAAAAGTCCAAGATTGTGAAGCCTTCAACGTTGTGGACTGTATATTCCATATTAAGAATAATGATTTCAATCAACAAAAACCTTGACTTAACACATTAAGCGCCATGTCGGTCCCTACGGACCGCTACTGGTTATACCCACGAGGCCGCGGCGGTCCCTAGGGACCGCTACCTTAAAATTTACTTTTCTGTCGCTGCAAGCCGACGGACCGCTTGGTCCCCTAAACGTGACTGATAAAAGTAGTTTTTGATTTTTTTTTCTTTTAACAGATGGTTATTATTTAAGTATGATAGCCAAGAAATCAAAATATTAAATATGTAAATCGTAATTTTTATTCAAGTACAGAACTAATTTAACATTCTTTGGAAAAAAAAATCATTTAGAGTACATAACAAAAACAGTTTAATGGTAATTACCTATTGTCAAGACGATAAAATCACAGGTCTGTCTCTAACCGCGTAAATGAAAGAAATGCATGTGCAAGAGCAAGTAAAATGCAAGAACAAACATGTATAAACAGGACCGCCGTACAGATCGCTCGTGCTTGGATAATAAAAAATTGCCATAAGGCCTTCACACAAAATATAGAATCACCAATTCAGTTTATTAATTCATCAATTGTAGGAATATATTAAATTATGCATGGTGTTTCAAAATGATTTTCATCTGGTAAGCTTTGGAATTTATTTAAATATAATTCTTGTGAATAATGTCACTTTCACTTGTGACTCATCATTTTGTCGTCATCGTTATTTGAAATATCATCGGCAAGTCGTGTATTTTTTGTATAAGTTGGCTGATAGGGCAAATCGTCAATAATACGTTGTCAATCACTTTCCATATTTATTAAAAACATTCGAAGTAATAAGCAAATAAAATGTACTTATACCATACAAGTTCATCTTAGCTTCTTTTCGGATGAAGCGTGGTTTTACTTGAGGAGTTATGTCAACAAACAGAATTACCGAACATGGAGTGTTGTCAATTCACACAATTTCATTGAGGTTCTTTTACATCCCGTGAAAGTTGGAACATGGTTAGCCGTATCACGTCGAAGAATAATTGGGCCAATATTTTTTCACAATGCCGTTAGTGGGCAATGTTACATGCAACAACTGTTTGAACCATTTTATTTTTAGTGTAGGTGTATCCGGAAGAATTTGAAGGTGGTTTTTTCCAACAAGATGGAGCTACAGCTCATACTACTCAAGAAAATTTAGGATTTCTTGAAGAGTTTTTTCTTGGCCGAGTTGTGAGTAGAGGTACTTGGCCAGCCAGGTTCCCAGATCTTACTCCACTGGACAATTTCTGGATCCATCAAAGGCTAGGTCTACAAAGAACAAATTAATAATTTGGAAGAATTATTGGAACGAATTAGCTTAATATGCTATGAGATAATACCACACATATTGCAACACAATTTTAACAACATAAAATGTTGTGTGGTTTTATGTATACAACAAAATGGTGGTCACTTGCAAAATTGATAGTAACGACTTTGTCTTTTTTCATTGTCAAAATAAATTGTTTTACTTTGCAAGTGTCTTTCTTTTTTCAGTTTTACAGAAACGTTAAATGTGCGAAAGTTAGAAAACGTAAAACCATTCTGTCTTGTGTCTACTTGTGACCTGCTCAATATAAGATCGCCAACTTTGTCAAACGGAAAATCCCCAACTGCAGGAATAAATTTAAACAACAAATAGAAAAATTAAGCAGAGATTGAGTCAGCTTACCTCTCCAGGGAGGGAGCTGTCCTCGGTATCTTCATCATTATCTAATAACTTTTCAAGAGTATTTTATAATTATGCAACTAACAATCACTGCTTACCTTCCAATCATTACCTTCGTGAAGAGATATTTTTTAATTTGCTTGAAAAATCTATGGGCGACAAGATGAAAGTTATTTTGAAACATCTTGTATTTTGTTGAAACGTAGGTTTAATAAAATAATAAATCGCTATAACGAAAGAGAAATACCTAGTCGACAAAGGAAATTACAGCTCGAAAGAGTGAAGCGAGAATAAGAAGTATAGGGTTTTTTATAAATGATTCTAAGGGCGTAGTTGGCCATACACCTAAAAAATCCCGTTTCGCTGAAATTATGCCTGATTATGACAGTTCTCACTTGTCATTAATGTCATTTATAATTTGTCGTTTAAAATCATCAATTGATTCATTAGGAAACTAGTTGTACAGATGCGTGTGGTACTTGTCGTGAGTCCTTGGCATTTAGTAAAATCCACATAAAGTGATAGGCGACAAGCTTCCATGACCTACTTCGACCCTATAAGCATTTATAGAAAGCCTGTATATTGTTGCACCTATTTATTTATTTATTTTTATAAACGTGTAATTAACTTAGTCATGCAATTCGCCAATTTAAATTGTCCGTATCAAGTCTCACTTCCCTATTAAATTATTATTAATAAGCCAATAACTTTTAATTCGTTTCCAACCTGTAAAATGGTTTTTACTGAAGGAATGAATGAATTTATGTAGCTTTAGTGTAACGCACTGACATGAATAATTGAATAAATTTTTACACCTGTGAGCAAGAAGTTGTTTGAAGCCAACTCACTTTACTTTACAAATTCCTCTGTTCCCGTTTTACAACCGTCGATACATCTATTCAGGAGATTAAACATAAATGAAATTAAATCGAAAACAGAGACACAAAGTGCTCATTGTACAGCTAGCCATCACTATTCAACTCTTTCCAACCAAGCGAGTAATACCGGGTAAAACCTCTCGTTTCCGAATCGATTTCTTCTTTTTTCTAATTAATTTTTTGCTTCTCCTCAGCTTTAGTCAAATGCAGAGCTCCGACAAGCAAACAGAGAGAAAAAGAAGCGGACTTTCTTGTCGAACAAAGCCTCCTCTCTGTACACATGCACGAGCAAAGTAACAAATCTATTTTGCTTTCGCGAAGGTGTTGTCGAAGTTAAGGTCGTAGGATTAGCCTTAACAAGCTGTACGTGATCCCAGGCCACGTAAACCTGGATTCGGCGACCTGGAAAGCAGCTTTCAACCTTTCGATAAATTTGCATGCAGAGGCGGCTCGTCATATTATCAATTAAATCGCCCCTGGTGCGAAAGCGATAAAT